GTGTTCGTAGTAGTATCGTAGTAGTTTAGCAGTCGTCGTCTTATACTTTTAGTAGTAGTAGTAGTAGTAGTAGTAGTAGTAGTAGTATTAGTAGTAGTAGTAATAATAGTAGTAGTAGTAGTAGTAGTAAATAGTAGTAGTAGTAGTAGTAGTAGTAGTAGTAGTAGTAGTAGTAGTAGTAGTAGTATTAGTAGTAGTAGTAGTAGTAGTAGTAGTAGTAGTAGTAGTAGTAGTAGTAGTAGTCGTTAGTAGTAGTAGTAGTCGTAGTAGTAGTAGTAGTAGTAGTAGTAGTAGTAGTAGTAGTAGTAGTAGTAGTAGTAGTAGTAGTAGTAGTAGTAGTAGTAGTAGTAGTAGTAGTAGTAGTAGTAGTAGTAGTAGTAGTAGTAGTAGTAGTAGTAGTAGTAGTAGTAGTAGTAGTAGTAGTAGTAGTAGTAGTAGTAGTAGTAGTAGTAGTAGTAGTAGTAGTAGTAGTAGTAGTAGTAGTAGTAGTAGTAGTAGTAGTAGTAGTAGTAGTAGTAGTAGTAGTAGTAGTAGTAGTAGTAGTAGTAGTAGTAGTAGTAGTAGTAGTAGTAGTAGTAGTAGTAGTACTCGTCGTAGGAGGCGGAAGGAGTAGGAGCAGGAGCAGGAGCAGGAGGAGGAGCAGGAGGATGATGTGGAGGAGGAGGATGAGGAGGAGGAGGAGGAAGTGGAGGAGAATGTGGAGGAGGTGGAGTAGGAGGAGGGAGGAGCAGGGAGGAGGAGGATGAGGAGGATGAGGAGAATAGAAAGAGCGTGTTCTACCGCTGCTGGCGGAAAACCAGGGAGGGTCACTACCGGTTCGAACCCCTCCCCCCCCCCCTCCGGAAAACCGGGGGGGGTCACTACAGGTTCGAACCCCTCCCCCCCCCCGCCCCCCAGTTCATTATGAAAAGGGGGGGGGGGTCACTACCGGTTCGAACCCCCCCCCCCCTCGAAAACCGGGGGGGGGTCACTTACGGTTCGAACCTCCCCCCCATCGAAAACCGAGGGGGGGTGCGGAAAGTGGCGGGGACGGTGGGACGGTGGTGGTGGGGACAGTGGTGAGGGGACAGCGGGACAGTGGTGGGGACAGTGGGACAGTGGTGGGGACGGTAGTGGTGGGGACAGTGGTGAGGACAATGGTGGGAACAGTGGGGACGGTGGACAGTGGTGGGAACGGTGGTGGTGGGGACAGTGGTGTGGGGACAGTGGGAATGAGGTGGAAACAGTGGGACAGTGGAGGGTACAGTGGTGGTGGGGACAGTGGTGAGGGCGGTGGCGAGGACGGCCGTGGGACAATGGGACAGAGGTACAGTGCGGACAGTGGTGGGGACAGTGGGGACATTGGTGGGAACAGTGGGACAGCTCAGTGGGACAGCGGAGGAGTCAGTGGGACAGTGGGGACACTGGGGATAGTCGGGCAGTAGTTGGGGCCGTGGAGAAAGTGGGGAGAGTGGAACCGTGGTGGGAACAGTGGTGGGGACAGCGGGGACAGTGCGAACAGTGCGACAGTGGTGGGGGCACTGGTGGGGACAGTAGGGACGGTGGTGGAACCAGTGGGGACAGTGGTGGTGAAGACAGTGGTGCTGGGAACAACAGTGGGGGATGTGGTGCGGACGGTGGTAGGGACTGGGAGTCGTTTGCTGGCGGTGAGTGGGGGGGGTGGGGAGGGCTTCGAACCGGTAGTGACCCCCCCTCCGGTTTTGGAGGAGGGGGAGGTGAGTAGGAGGATGGGGAGGAGGAGAAGGAGGAGGAGAAGGAGGAGGAAGAGGAGAGGCAGCATGGAGCAGGAGGAGGCGGAGAAGGATGATGAGAAGGAGGATGAAGGATGGGAATCAGCATACTTCCGGCCGCGCCACTGATGCTGCGGTGTGCTCGCACGCGTGACACGAACCTGAACCGAAATCGATTTCCGTGTTAGTGCCACCTCGTTCTCACCTTCAACCCCCGATGTCTAGAAATCCGTGTGCCGTTTGTGACGATCGTATGAAGATTCGATGGCATGTTGTTTCGCAGAGAGCGCATTGAGCTTGAGAGGAATCTGCCGTCCATCCATATGACCAGTATACTCTTTAAGCCGTATGTGCGACGCCGATCGCGGCGACGCGCACGATTCCCAAATGTATGGAAGTTCCGGGCGAGAGCCAGGTTCTGAAAAGGGCCAATCCTGAGTTTGTGCACCTGTTGGACATGGCCAGCCTCGCAACCAGATGTGGGAACGTCTCAGGCGAGATATCGACTCAGAACAAGAGCCACTCCTCCGCCCGTGCAACTGTTGGAGCCCTTGAGGCCGAGTGTGTGCGGCGGAATGTTAGCCAGCGCTAGATTTTGGACACAGCGGCCTGCAGGGAAGAGGGGCGGGAAACCTCAGTACAGTCACGGGGTTGGGTCGGCGTCGGTCATCGTTCCCCCGTCGCCCCGCGCCCCTCTGCCCTCTCCTCGCCCCTCCCTCCCTCTCCTTCCCCTGGGCTCGGATGCCGCCCTGCCTGCGCCGGAGAATCGGCGTGCGCTGCACCACGAAGACGGCCACGACGACGACCACGATGCCCACGCTCAGCGACCACGGCGAGGCGCGACCACGACGAGGCGCTGCGCACCCCAGGAGATGCGCCGCGACGATGGCCACGGCACTCGACGCGCGGCCACGGCGGCATGCCCTCCGCGGCCCCGACCAGGTGCGAGAGTACGCTGGGCCCCGAGCTCGGGTCCCGCGTCGCCGAGTTCCTGGGCCTCTCGGCCGAGGACGGACCGCGCTCGGCCGCCCTCCCGCGGAGATGGAGGCGGCAGAGGCGGCGGCGGAGGCGACGTCGCTGGCGGCGACGGCGACGTCGACGCGGCTGGCGGCGGCGGCGGCGAGGGGTGTGAGGGAGGGAGGGGCTGGCGAGGAATGGAGAGGGAGGAAGAGGATGGAGGAGGAGGGGGAGGGGGGAAATCTGTGAGGGGGCAGAAGGGGGAGCGGGAGGCTGCTGGTGGGGACGAGGGCAGCCGAGGGAGTCAGAGCGTAGAGGGTACGTTTTGGAGGTAGAGCATGGTGATGATGATGATGCTGATGATGACGATGATGATGATGCTGATGATGATGTTGATCATGATAATGGTGATGGTGATGATGATGATGATGATGATGATGATGATGATGATGATGATGATGATGACGATGATGATGATGATGATGATGATGATTATGATGATGATGATGATGATGATGATGGTGGCGATGCTGATGATTATGGTGCTGGTGGTGATGCTGATGATGGTAATGTTGCTATTCATGATGATGCTAATGATGATGATGATGATGCTGACTGTGATGCTGATGCTGCTGCTCATGATGATGCTGATGATGGAAACGATGCTGATGCTGATGGTGATGATTGTACTGCTGCTGCTGCTGATGATGATGATGCTGATTCTGATAAAGAAGAAGATGCTGATGCTGCTGCTGATGCTGATGCTGATGCTGATGCTGATGCTCATGATGACGATGATGATGCTGATGGTGATGATTGTGCTGCTGCTGCTGATGACGATGTTGATGCTGATGATGCTGATGATGCTGATGATGATTCTGATGTTGATGATGACGATGATTATGCTGGCGATGACGGTAATGATGATGATGATGATGATGATGATGATGATGATGATGATGATGATGATGATGATGATGATGAGGATGATGATGATGATGATGTTGTTGTTGTTGTTGCTGCTGATTCTGATGATGATGATGATGGTGACGATCATGCTGATGTTGATGCAGCTGCTCCTGACGATGCTTATGCTGATGCTGCTGCTGCTGCTGATGATGATGATGATGATGGCGGTGGTGGTGGTGATGGTGATTATGATGGTGATGGTGGTGATGCTGTTGCTGCTGCTCATGATGATGTTGCTGCTGACGAGGACGATGAGGATAACGATGACGACGACGACCGAAGATGACGATGACGATGCTGGTGACGATGATGATGATGTTGATGATGATGATGATGATGATGATGCCTATGATAATGACAATTCTGATGCTGACGAGGGTGATGATGTTGATGACGGTGATGCTGATGATGATGATGGCGATGATGCTGATGATGCTGATGATGATGATTGTGGTGATGATGATTATGGTACTGATAATGATGACGACGATGATGCTGATGGTGATGGTGATGGTGGGTGGTGATGTTGATGTTGATGCTGAAAGTGGTGGTGATGATGATGGTGGTAAACATAATGATGACGATGCCGTTGAAGATGATGATGCTGATGCTGATGCTGATGCTGCTGCTGGTAATGGTGCTGATGATGATGTCGATGATGATGCTGATGATGAGAATTGTACTGCTGCTGCCGCTGATGACGATGCTGATGACGATGCTGATTTTGATGACGACGATGATGACGATGCTGCTGATGATGATGCTGACGGTGATGATTGTACGGCTGCTGCTGATTACGATGGTGATGATGATGATAATGCTGATGATGATGAGGATGCTGATGCTGATGATGATGAGTGGAAGGGGGATGATGATGATGGTTCTGCTCATGATGCTGCTGCTGCTGATGCTGATGATGATTCTGATGATGGTGACGATCATGCTGATAGTGATTCAGCTGCTGATGACAATGCTGATGCCGCTGGTGATGATGATGCTGCTGCTGCTGATGATGATGATGATGAGGGTGGTGATGGTGTTGGTGATGGTTGTGATGCTGATGATGAGGATGATGCTGATGATGATATTGTTGGTGATGATGCTGATGCTGATGCTGATGATGATGATGGTGCTTATGATGCTGCTGCTGATGAAGATGATCATGATGGTGAGGATGAGGATGATGCTGATGATGGCGATGCTGATGCCGCTGATGATGATGCCGCTGATGATGATGATGAGGATGATGATGATGATGGTGGCGGTGGTGGTGGTGATGGTACTGGTGATGGTAGTGATCCTGATGATGGGGATGATGATGATGTTGTTGGTGATGATGGTGTTGCTGCTGGCAATGACGATGACGATAACGATGACGACCGACGATGACGATGATGATGCCGATTCTGATGACGATGATGATGCTGCTGCTGCTGATGATCCTTATGATGCTGACGAGGATCATGCTGTTGATGACGATGTTGATGACGATGGTGATGATGATGATGTTGCTGCTGATGAGGATGATAGCGATGAAGATGAAGATCATGATGATTCTGAGGATGCGGATGATGATGCTGTTGTTGATGCTGCTGATGATGAATGATGATGCTGATGACGCTGACGATGTCGCTGCTGCTGCTTTGGATGATGACGATGGTGATGATGATGATGATGATGATGATGATGATGATGATGGTGGTGGTTATGATGAGGATGAGGGGGATGATGATGATGATGCTGGTTTTGCTGATGATGATGCTGTTGATGCTGATGCTGATGCTGCTGCTGCTGATGGTGGTGCTTATGATGCTGCTGCTGGTGATGATGATGATGATGATCATGATGGTGAGGATGAGGATGAGGATGAGGACGATGATGATGATGACGACGATGACGATGACGATGACGATGATGATGATGCTGATGATGATGATGCTGATGATGATGATGATGATGATGATGATGATGATGATGATGATGATGACGATGACGATGACGAAGCGGAGGAGGAGGAAGAGGCGGATGAGGGAGGAGGGAGGTGGCGGCGGTGGCGGCGTCGGTGGCGGAGGGGGAGGAGGAGGAGAAGGAGGACCACCAACGATGTTGCAAGCAACCTTCTCTCCAGGTTCCCTCGGGAAGTGCTCTGTTGGAAGACAGTCGTCTGATAATCCCCAGTCTTGTCAAAGCACAACCCCTTGGCCTTAATGCCGCGAGTCAACGTGAGTGTTAGGCCCTGACAATCCCAAAGCGTGCCAGAACACCATTCCTGCGACGTCAGCTTTGCGAATCAACCTGATTGTCGCGTCCTGACAATCCAAAACTCCTGTCAGAACACCGTTCGTGGGACTTCATTCGTACGTACCCTTTAGCCAGTTAGTTTCAAACATTTGCGACGAATGTGCGCGGCGTTTGGGCGAGAGCCACATTTTGAAATGGAGCCGCCTTTCATTCTTGAAGCTGCGACAGACCTTTAAGAATCATGTGCGCGGCGCTATGTCGTGAGCCACATTTTGAAACAGGCCTGCCATCAACATTGAAACAGCTGCAGACTTTTAAGACGAGTGTGCGCGGCGCTGAGGGAACCAACTTGTACATTCCCAGCTTCAGGATCATAGATGGTCAAGAAATCTCAAGCGAAACGTCAGGGCCTTTCCACCGACACGTCTGAGGGCGCGACGGAGTTATGTATAAGGAATAAGGATGGAGGAGGAGGAGAAGGAGGAGTAGGAGGAGGAGAAGGAGGAGGAGGAGGAGAATAAGGAAGAGGAATATTAAGTAGGAGTAGGAGTAGGAGTAGGAGTAGGAGTAGGAGTAGGAGTAGGAGGAGTAGGAGGAGGAGGAGGAGGAGGAGGAGGAGGAGGAGGAGGAGGAGGAGGAGTAGGAGGAGGTGCGCCGGTGTGCGTCCTCGCTGCCCCCTGCCCGAGCCCCGCCGCCTGTGCGTGCTAGCGGCACGCCTTCGCGTGCCGGCGGCACCCACCGCTTGCAGCGCCGCTGCTCGTGGGAACCCTTGACCCCCTCCCCCTCCACTGCACGCATTCTTCTCGCCTTCTCCTCGCCCTCCCCCTTGCTTTCCTCCTCCTCCTTCCCCTGCTGCTGCTCCTCCTCCTCCTCTTCCTCCTCCTCCTCCTCTTCCTCCTCCTTCTCCGCCTCCTCGCCCTCCTTCCTCTCTTCCATCTCCTCCTCTCCTTGCTCCTCTTCTTCTTCCTCCTCCTCTTCTTCTTCCTCCTCCTCCTGCTCCTCTGCTTCCTCCTTGCCCCACCCCTCCCGTTGCGAGGCCGAGGCCGCTGCCCTGCCCGCGCTGGCGCCGCTGGAGCCGTGGCCGCCACTGCTTGGCGGTGACGCCCTGCGCTGGGAGGCCTTCCTGGTGGAGGCGCCGCGGAGGGAGGGAGGCGCGCCGCGGAGGGAGGGTGGCGCCGAAGGGGCGCCTCTCCCTCCGCGGAGGGGGGAGGCGGCGCCGCCACGTTCCTGGTGGAGGCGCCGCGAAGGGAGGGAGGCGCCTTCCTGGTGGAGGTGCCGCGGGGGAGGGAAGGGGGCACCGTCAGGAACTTCGGCTCAGCGTTTCGTGCCACCGGTTCTGACGCACCACGCTTCGGCGCGACACGCTGACATCTTCCCAGTCCCCAGGGGTCAACGTCTCGAGCCTTTCCCAGTACCCCGCCCCGCGGAGCGGAGTGACACTCTATCAGGTTGCAGGGGATAGCGTGTCGCTGGGACCGCCGCCGCGACACGCTGTGCAACAGTTCCTGACCGTAGGGGAGGGCGAGGAGGAGGAGGAGGAGGAGGAGGAGGAGGAGGAGGAGGAGGAGGAGGAGGGGGGACAAGTGGAGGAGAAACGAGGGGATGCATGAGCGGAGGGGGGAGTGTTGAAGGGGTGTTGGTGGTGGAGGAGGAGCGAAGGGGGAGGGGGCAAGCTAGGTGCGCTCGCGCCGCATCTGACGTCCTAACACTCCTAGTCATCATTTCCCATTCAGCTTATTTCTCCACGTCGGCCGAGGGAACACCCCAAAGGACACCATCGTGTTACGCATGCGCAAACCGATAAGGGGAGCTGTTTACATGGGGGGTGGAGGTGGCGGATGAGCAGGAGGACGATCAGGTTGTTGTTGGTGATGACGGCGATGCTTATTAGGATGACGGCGGTGACGATGATGATGATGGTGATGATGATGATGATGATGATGATGCTGATGGTGATGAGGATGATGCTGATGCTGCTGAGGATGATGATGATGCTGATGATGATGATGATGATGATGATGATGATGAGGACGATGATGATGACGATGCTGGTGATGGCGATGATGATGCTGATGGCAAAGATGTCGTTGATGATGATGCTGGTGATGATGCCCATGTCGACGACGACGGTGATGCTGCTGCCGATGACGATGCTGATGCGGATGATGATGCTGATCGTAAAGGTGATGGTGACGGTGATGATAATGATGATGATGATGATGATGATGATGATGATGATGATGGTGATGATGATGATGATGATGCAGATGATCAGGATACTGCTGATGATACAAGCTGCTGCTGCTAATGATAGTGCTGATGGTGGCGATGACGATGATGCTGACGATGCAGATGATGATGATGATGATGATGATGATGATGATGAGGATGATGATGCGGATGCTGATGATGATGATGACGATGAGGATGACGACAATGATGATACTGCTGATGCTGCTGCTGATGCTGATTAGGATTTCGATGCTGATGATGCTGATGATGATGCTGATGATGATGCCGATGCCAATTATGATGATGGTGATGCTGATTATGATGATTATAGTGACGCTGATGGGGATGAGGATGTTGCTGATGATGATGATGCTGGTGACGAAGATGCTGATTCTGATGATGCTGTTGCGGCTGATGATGCTGCTGCTTATGATGATGCTGCTGCTGATGATGATGCGGAGGGTTGGATTGTGATGACTATGGCGATAATGCAAATGATGATGGTGATGATGAGGCTGATGCTGCTGATGATGCTGATGCTGATGCTGCTGCTGATGATGATTCTGCTGATTAGTCTGATTACGATGCCGATGGTACTGATCACAACGATGACGATACCGATGACGATGACGATGTTGGTATTGATATAGTTGTGGCTGTTGTTGTCGACGATGGCGATGGTGATGATTGTAATGACAACGGTTATGTGGATGAGAATGAAGACGAATCTGAAAATGATGATGATGCTGATGATGACGCTGATGATGATGCTGATGATGCCGATGATGGTGATGGTGTTGATGATGATGCTGCTGCTGATGATGATGATGATGATGATGACGCTGATGACGCTGATGATGATGATGATGCTGATGATGATGATGATGATGATGATGATGATGATGATGATATTGTGGATGATGATGGTGGTTCTGATGATGCTGATGCTGATTATGGTGCTGCTGATGATGATGATGATGACGATGATGATGATGCTGATGATGATGAGGGAGAGGAGGAGGAGGCGGATTCTTGATATTTCATGCGACGTCCCAGAACCGTGTACCTGGATTGACAGGTTGGACGGGACCACGTTTGACTTGGGTGACTGTGACCCTGCGAGGCTTCTCGATTTTCATCTTATAGGCTCTTTGGAAGGATTGGGTTGGGCCAGGACCACAACATTATCACGGGAAAGGGATCGAGCACAATGCTGATTTTAGTGTTGCGTGCCGACACATGCGTAGATTGGACAGTTTGCACCAGCACGATCGGGCCGCCGTGTTGACAATGGTGTGGACGGGGGGTTTGTGGCCCGCTGCCAGGCGCTTTAGGGAAAAGAGTCTCCACCCGCCTCCCCGTGAGCCCTCCTCGTCCTCTGGACGTCCCGCGCCCGAGGGACATGCTGGACCCTCCCCCCCCGCGCCTACGGAAAGTGGGACGAGTCCCCTCCTTAGGATTGGATGAGGAGGAGGAGGACGCCCACGGTCTGGACGACCTGCTGGAGCAGCAGGCCCGACAGGACATATGCGGCTTGTGCGATCAGGCGGGGCCCGAGCCAGCAGAGGCGGGTCCGAACCTTCATGTCTTGCCCAATTGCCCACGTTTCGGAGCAGTGTCACAGACCCTGTTCCATCAGCTTTGGTCCTGTGCCTTTGACGCCCAGATTGAGGACATTGTTTGAGGGCTTTGCCCCAGGCCCAGGCCGAGTGTGAAGAGTCTCCGTGCTTCTGGTTTCGGTGGCTTCCCCCGCGAAGAGGGACGACGGTGCCCACTGTAGTCGATACCTCGTGCCCACCAACGTTTCCCCCGAAGCCACAGCCAAGGGCCGATATACGGAAGGCGGGGGACGTCGTCGTCGGGACGGATGTGTTGAGTGGGCCGTACTCGTCGGAGGCCAGTTTGAGGAGGGGTGGAGGGGGGTTTGCAATAATCCGGGGGAATCGGCAGCCTAGATGGGTGTATCGGAATCTATCTGGATTTATACAGTCGGTCCCCCTGTCCGAGCTTGAGGCCATCATCCAGACCCTGCGGAGCACTGTTGGAAGCTTTGTGCTGGCAGTGGGCCCGGCTGTCACGATCTCGGGGCTTCACCGAGGCCTTGAATTTCATCCACCAGGTGCGCGTTTGCGCTTGGAGAAGGTTTCGGGAAGCTGCCCAGGACCGTCCCACATGGTTAAGAGCCACACGCACCCAGCCCCAGAGCGTGTCGACGGCCCTCCCTTGCACTTGTGGTTGGCTAGCGGAGCTGCGGGCCAGGTGGCTGAGTGTGGTGCCCAGAGGTGTCACTTGCCTGGCCATGTCATGCAGGAAGTTGCGCGTGTAGATGAGTTGCCCTGGAAGGGCCAAAACCATCTTGTAGCAGTGACCCTTGACATTGCGTCGGGGGCCCTTGAACTGTATGGCCCCAGTTCGCGTGCTGCTCGAGCGGCAGAGGCGAAGCTCCGGTGCAATGGGCGTGCTGTTAGGGTGGAGGAGGCTGAGGTGACGTCGTCCCATCAAATTGGGCACGACACCAAAGGCACCAAGTGCCTCAAGTGTCTCACCCAGCCATCAGCAGAGCTCTGACTGGTTGGCATCCCCGTGCTCTAAGGCCTCCCCACGTGCATCGATCCCTCGCACAGGCTGGACACATGCAGGTTGGGTTTCTGGTGCCAGATGCGTGGGGCCACGGGCACGGGAGGCAAATTCGTGAAACTTGGCAAAGTGTGTCGGCCTGACGGAGCTGGGACCTGGGGGAGGTGGGTGATCAGCGCCCTCGGGGCGGGAACGCGTTCCCCTCTGGGTCCACGACCTGGCCTGAACCAGCGCCACAGTCGCAATTTGCTGTTTTGGCGTGCCCGATGGTCGGATTCCACGCTGCAGTTCTGGACGTGGAAAAGAATGATGCTGCTGATGATGGTGGTGATGATGCCCCTGGCGAGACTGATGACGGTGATGGTGATGCTGGTGATGATGATGCTGATGCTGCTGCTGATGATGATGATGATGATGATGATGCTGATGCTGATGCTGATGCTGATGCTGCTAATGATGCTGCTGATGATTATGATGCTGATGATACTTATGATGGCGATGGTGTTGCTAGTGATGATGGTTGTGATGGTGCTGCGGATGATGATGGGGATGGGTGTTCTGATCATGGTGGTGATGATGATGCTGATGCTGATGCTGGTGATGAGGTGACCATGATGACGATGAAAGTGCTTACAATGAGGACGTTGACGATGATGGTGATGATGGTGATGATGACGATGACGATGACGATGATGATGGTGATGATGATGATGATGATGATGCTGATGATGATGATGATGAGGAGGAGGAGGAGGAGGAGGAGGAGGAGGGGGAGGAGTAGGAGGAAGGAAAAGGAGGAGGATGAGGAATAGGAGCAAGCGGAAGAGGAGGAGGAAGAGGATGAGGAGGAGTAGGAGTAGGAGTAGGAGTCAAGCTAGCCAGCTCGAGCGAGTCAAGCATGGCATGCCCAGTCCCACCCGCCCTCCCACAACATAAGAAGCAAAGCTGGCACAACTGGGGGCCGAAGTCACACCGGCCAGCCGGTTTGGTACAGCTGATGCGGCCGCGATGGCGGTTGCCGACGGGAACTGGCGAGCGCGTGTTGAATGCCGCGCACGCATTGCCAGACGAGTCGAGAATGGCCCGGTACACCGCAGGAAGCCAGAGGTGGCCGGAGGAAGCCCGACGGTCTGACAGGACACCCCAAAGCATTTTTGTGAAAAAGCATTGGGTTTTTGATGTTTTTATGTTGAAATGCTTGCAAACACACGGTGTTCGGTAGGATTCTGACATGAACGCGCGAGTGTGCTCTTTGTGGTATTTTTTGCACAGGATTCGCGGCCTGGGTGCATGACAGAGCATCGCGAGTGCACCGCGCGATGACGTGAAATCGCTGGATTTGACAGAATTCTTAAGATTCCTATGGTTTTCCTATGATTTCAGCAAGAGAGCCCGGGCGGGAAATTTGTACAATTTTTGTGAAAAAAACATTGGGTTTTTGATGTTTTAATGTTGAAATGCTGGCAAACACACGGTGTTCGGTAGGATTCTGACATGAACGCGCGCGTGTGCTCTTTGTGGTATTTTTTGCAATGGATTTTCGCCGTGGACGACAGGACGTCCATGTCGAGAGGAAACATGTTGATTTTGTATTGTTTTTTACAGGTTAGGATGGGACCACCCGGATGCGCCCGCTATCTGCCGGCCTGAGGGGGGAGTAGGAGTATATTCTAATAAGGAATAAGGATGGGAGTAGGAGTGGGAGTAGGAGTAGGAGTAGGAGGAGGATGAGGATGAGGTTGCGGAGGAGGAGGATGAGAAGGAGGAAGAGGAGGAGGAGGAGGAAAAGGAGGAGGAAGACGAGGCGGAGGAGGAGTAGGAGGAGCAGGAGAAGCGGAGGAGGAGGAGGAGGAGGAGGAGGAGGAGAAGGAGGATGAGGAGGATGGGGAGGATGAGGAGGAGGATAAGAAGGAGGACAAGGAGGAGGACAAGGAGGAGGACAAGGAGGAGGAGGAGAAGGAAGGAGGAGGAGGAGGAGGAGGAGGAGGAGGAGGAGGAGGACGAGGAGGGGAGTGGGTGAGGGCAGGTGGGTGTGATGGAGAGGAAGAAGGGGGTGGCGGAGGGGGGGGATGGAAGACGGGTTGAGGATGTGTGAAGGGCCGATGATGTCGATGCTCTTGCTGATGGCGACGACGACGTAGATGGCGATGATGTTTTTGATGCTGATGCTGATGTACCTGTTGATGAGGGCAATGATGCTGGTGATGATGTCGATGATGATGGCAATGGTGATGGTGAGGGTGATGATTGTGCTAGTGATGGTGGTGATCTTGGTGGTGATTACTGGTAGTATGATGGTGAGGATTCTGATGATGGTGTTGGCAATATTCACAATACGATTGTGATCTTCATAATGATGGTGGCGAACGCGGTGATGATAACGATGGTGACGATGATGCTGGTGATGCTGATGTTGGGTATGATGCTGCAGCTGGTGATGATGATCATGAGGATGATGATAAGGATAATGAGTTGGAGGCGGATGCTGATGATGGTGATGATGATGAGGCTGATGATGCTAATGGTGATGATGTTGATCATGATGATGATGGTGATGATTTTGTAGAGGATGAGGCTGATGATGCTTACTATGCTTATCAGCATCTTTAGCATTGCTATCACTGTTGTTTTGAGTAGTCTTAGTTTTCGTACATTTCCCTATGGGTCGGATTATTGTCTCACTGCGGTTACTGTTATCGGTCTTATTATTGTTACTGCTACTGTTGTTGTTCTTATTCTCATTACCATTACCATTATTGCCTTTCTGATCACCATCACCACCATTATTATTTTAGTGCCGTCCTTATTATCATTATCATTATTATTATTATTGTTATTATTATTATTATTATTATCATTATTAGTGTTATTAATATTCTTGTTGTTGTTGTTGTTGTTGTTGTTGTTGTTGTTGTTGTTGTTGTTGTTGTTGTTGTTGTTATAGCTATTGTATTTTCATCGCTTCGCTCATTCCGCCGGCCCATATTGCCTCGCCGCTGTCGTTTGCCGGGGTGTTGTTGTCAATGCGGTGCGGTTGGGCGGCTGCCATTTTTTGGAGGCGGTGGGTGGCGGGTCAGAGGCTTCACGGATGTTGGTTGGGCTCTCGTGGTTGGCCTCTCAGGGGCCTTTGGGAGGCAGTTTTGAGGCCTCTTGGGGACCATGTTGGGGCCTCTTGGGGCTTCTCGGGGTGCCTGTTGGGGCCTCTTGGGGCCTATTGGGGCCTATTGGGGCCTCCTGGGAGCCTCTTGGGGCTGAAGGCTGGACTTTTCGGTTCCTGGTCCCCTTCTTGGGCTCCTCTTGGGACCGTTTTGGGGCTCTCTTGGGCCGTCTTGGGCGCCTCTTGGGCTGTCTTTGGGCCATCTTGAGCCGTCTTGGGACCCTCTTGGAGGCTTTGTGGGCTGTCTTGGGGCGGTCTTGGAAGCCTCTTGGGCCGTCTTGGAGTGCCGTTAAGCCGAAAAGGCGAGAATGCCAAAAACCGTCAGAAGCTGAAGGACAATCACTAACTTCTGCCCCTGTGGGCCCTCTTGGGTGGTCTCTTGGAGGCCTCTTGGGGCGTCTTGAAGGCGCTTTGGGCTGTCTGTATGTAGGCCATCTTTGGCATCTTGGATCGCTCGTGGGCCGTCTCGAGCCATGTTGAGCTCTTTTGGAGGCCACTTGAAGCGCTCCTGGAAGGCTCTTGGGAGCCTGCCGGGACCTGTCCAGGACCCAGCCGGGGGTTGACCGGGACCCGGCCGGGGGTTGGCCAGGACTTGCGGGGGTACTTTTCGTCTGGGGACCCCCAGGGGCGGCCCCGCGCGCGCGAACTAGATTACATTGTTAACTAGTCTCTGGAGATCTTAGCACGCCCTTGGCCCGTTTGGCCGGCCAATTAATATTACTATTGACATCCATGTTTGTTTTTAATCATCAGCGCGTATTGAGACGTTGGTGTTATCCTAGTGGCTTTGGGCTCATCCCGCTACCGTGCCTGGGTTGTAGGCCTGAGATCTCTTGTATATGTGTTAGGGTGTCGTGGGGAGCTTCTCGGGGGCCTCTTGGATGCGGTTTGGGGGCTTCTTGGGGGCCTCTTGGAGCCTCGTGGGGTATCTTTTGGGCCTCTTGGAGGCCTCTTGAACGCGTCTTGGGCGCCTCTTGGGGCCTCTTGGGGCGTCTTGGCGGCCTCTTGGGGCCTCCTGGGGGCTTCTCGGGCTTTTCGGAGTGCTTCTTGGGCCATCGTGGAGCCCTCTTGGGCCGTTTTGGGGCCCTCTTGGAGGCGTCTTGGGCTGTCTTGGAGCGGTCTTGGGAGCTTCTTGAGCCGTCTTGGAGCGCCGGAAAGCCGAAAATGCGAGAAGACCAAAATCCTTCAACAACCTTCGTACAATCGACGATTTTGGCCTTTTGGGGCTCTCTCGGGCGCTCTTGGGGCCTCTTGGGGCTTCTTGGGGCCCTCCTGGGCCGTCTTGAAACCATCTTTCGGCGCCTTGGAGCACTCTTGGCCTCGGCAGTGCGAATACAGCTTAATTTGCAAGGGTTTGTAGCCTCGGGGACGCGAACATCGGGTAATGAACGAGCGTTTGTTGCCTCGGGGACGCAACAATCGCGTAGTTTGCAGAAAGGTTTGTGGCTTCGGGGATCAGGGACGCGAGCATTTTGTAATTTACATAGTGTAAGTTGCAAGGGTTTGTTGCCTCGGGGACGCAATAATTGTATACTTTCTGAAGGGTTGTTGCCTCGGGGACGCGAAGACTGGTAGTTGACAGCGGATTATTGCCTCGGGGGCGCGAATCTGAAGCATTTTTACGTGTCCCACGCTCCCCCTGGAGTTCAGAGCACGCGGTCCGAGGGTGGTAAATTGTCGGTTTGGGGCTGCCCCCCCTTCGCGCGGACTTCAACAATCTACAGTAGGAAGCAGAAAGCAGGACTGTAGCATTGGATACTTGAAACTGAAACTGGTGCAGGGTGCAGCAACCTCACCCTACAGCCTGGTGGCCCCACAAGGGGACCGGCTGATTATTGTTAGGATGAGTCATGTGATGATTTTGGTTGTGTTGGTGATGAGTATGGTCATGATGACGACGATGACGAGGAAGAGGAGGAAGGTCGAGGAGGAGGAGGAGGAGTCAAGGATGCCCCCACAAGCTTCGTCGCGGTCTGCGTCCCGCGCCGCTGCGCCGCCCGAGGCTCTGGGGGTCCGCGCTCTGAGCCCGGCGAGCCTTCCCGCGGCGGCGTCGCTGGAGCTCCGACTGCGCGTGGGGCGCCGGCTGCAGGACCCCCGGGTGCGCCCGAGGCGGCTCTTACAGTCAAGGCGCTGAGTTCGGGACCGCCTTGGGCTCAGAAGGAGTTCCAGTTTCCGGGCCGTTCCTTAAGTCCAGGTGGGGATCCTCTTCGAGGTTGAGCCCCGCCGTGGCCAGGAAAGCAAAGTTTTTCTTTATTTGGCGTTCCTTCTGGCAGTGCTATGACTGTACGCCGCGTGGTCACGGATGCTGCACGAGCTTGCCTATCTCCGGCATGCTCGCGTCGCGTCGCGTTTGGCCGCTTTCAGCCTCTGGGGGCCCTCGCCAGGCCGGCCCAGGGACCTTCACAAAACGGCTCGGGACGGAAACGGCTCGTGGGTCGGTCTATTCCTTCCTGGTTCGTTGTCCCATGGAAGAGATCCAGACCTTCGGGGGAGCCACGACGTTGTGAACAAATCACGACGTCGAGGCACGGGATCATCAGGGACACATCTCGTACGCTACACACGCCGATCCTGTGCCTGGACTGGACCTGGCAGGAATCGGCGTCTGCGGGCAATTCTCTGCGCCTGGCTGGACGGGGCCGGAGCAGATGGTGTCGAAGGGGCGTGCCGGTCGCCGACGCTCGTTGTCGGCGCGCACTGTCGAAGGGTGTGGCGCGAGGGGGGCGCCTTCGAAAAAGGCGGGGGCTTCCAAGTAGCCTTCTTTGATGGGCCTGTTTTCCACCACCACCACCATAAGTTGGAGGGGGAAGGAGGAGAAGGAGCAGGAGGAGGAGGAGGAGGAGGAGGAGGAGGAGGAGGATGAGGAGGACCCCCTCCCCCTCCAACTTGTGGTGGTGGTGGTGGAAAACAGGCCCATCATCCTTGGAAACTTCGGTGTCCTTCTAAGAAGGCCTACGTGCGCCAGCCTGGCTTGAGCGACATCCTCGCACAGTAAGATTTCCCGAGGCGTTCCTAACCGCTGCTCCACGCGAGGCGACTCTTTGTAGGAACGCCCCATAAGAAAAGAGCAGGTCGCGAGATATGCACGATCGCAGCCGCGAGGTCTCAGATGATCTGCGCTGGCCTGCACTCCGCCGTGCCTCCCAGGAGCTCGCGAAAATGGCGACGGTTGCGCAGTTCGCAGCCCCCAGGGGAGTCGCGAGGTCTCAAATCGTCTGCGCTGCCCTGCACTCCGCCGTGCCGCCCAGGAGCCCACGAAGGTGGCGACAGTTGGTCTCAAAGGGATCCCCGTGGCGCCCACCTCCGTCGTGCCTCCCAGCAGCTCACGAAAGTGGCGACGGTTGCGCAGTTCGCAGCCCCCGAGAAAGCCGCGAGGTCTCAAAGGGATCCCCATGTGGCCCTCACCTCCGCCGTGCCGCCCAGGAGCCCACGAAAGTGGCGACGGTTGCCTAGTTCGCAGACCCCGAGAGAGCCGCAAGTTCTCAACGGAATCCCCTGTGGTCCTCATCTCCGCCGTGCCGCCCAGGAGCCCCCGAAAGTGGCGGCAGTTGCGCAGTTCGCAGATTCCGAGAGAGAGAGAGAGAGAGAGAGAGAGAGCCGCGAAGGCTCCAAGGGATCCCGCGCGGCCCTGCACAGATGTACCAAGCCAAACGCGGCCCAGACTTCTGTGATCCCTAAGGCGGAGGACGGGGACCTCGGTGAGGCCACGTGCTTTTTGCGTTCTTAGGCTTCGGGGTTCTCCTGTGCTCGCTGGGGCCCGGGGCGGTCCCCCCGCCGCCGCACGGTCGGCGGCGCGCACGAGGGACAGCGCGAGGTGGGCGGCGCTCGGAGCAAGAAGGGGGCCTTCCAAGAAGGCAGGCCTCTAAGAAGGCAGGAGTGGCTTTTTGGAGGACCTCCCAGCTTAGAGCCGTCTGGGGGTTCTGAGGTGGCCCAGCAGGGGCTCCCGGCCAGCAGGGAGGGCAGGCAGGCTCGAGGTCCTGGGTTCGGTAAGGTTTTTTTTGCTCTTCTCGGCCTTTGGGGGCTGTTTGCGGGCGTCGGGACCGTGAGAAACGGATCCCGGGTGGAAGACTGCACCAGATTTAAGTCGGGCCTGCTCCACTACAGGGGGATTTTGGGCGAAACATTGAAAATACCTTAAACATATTCCAAACATGTTCAAAATGATAAAAACAAATCGTCCCAGACTTTTTTTATTACTATTTTTGCGAGCCTCCAGGCTCGCTCAGCGGAGTGTGCAAGGCACTCGTGGGATACGAAGGTGAATGGAAGGATGACTGACTTGTGACTTTTCCTCAGCACTCTTGGCCTCGAGCCAAATATGTTACGGCACCCATCCGTTCCTCTCTCAGTCCCAAGCTCACCAGCCCATGTTAGGCCATCTGCATGTTAGTGTACAGAATTGCGTCTACCAGAAGAGGAAATCGTTCCAGGAGACCCTCCGGGAACATTACTTCAGACGCCCCCGTTATCCCATATAGTGGGGTTGTCGCTCCGTGACCCCCAGACGCTGTAGATGCTAGCATGCCTCCTCGGGGCATCTCTCCACGAACTGGAGAGTGTCGCGTCTTATCTACAGCTGCATGCACGACTGCTGCTCTCGCCGCGCTGGAAGATCACTGTGGCTCCTGGCCCACGGGCGCTGTGTGCAGGATAGCGATCACTCCGAGCAAGCACACTCGGATTCCCTCCGTGATCTGGCCGATGTGCACGTGCATCCTCGGCGCAGCTGAGCTCACCTCCGCCTGCTCCCTTGGCATCGCACAGATACCAAGCGCCTTCTTGTGGTACTCGAGCGTTGCCTTGTCAGCATTCTGGGTCAGGATGTCGACGGGATTCTCCTTCGTCCCTACCTTGATGAGCGTGATGCGCCCACGCCGCACGAGCTCCTGTAATAACAAGTACTTGATCTGCACGTGCTTCATCAGCTTGCCGAAGCCCAGACGGGACATGGATGATATCGCGGTCGCACTGTCTGACTCGATACCGATCTCCACTTCGACCTCCAAGCCCATCTCCGTGAGCATCGACTTAAGACCTAGGCTCTCGACTTAAGCCTTCGCAACTTTTGAATATTCCTCCTGTAGAGGGACAGGCCCGACTTAACACCAGATGGACCCTGGGAAGGCCCGAGGACCGCTTTTGAGCGGATTTGGCCTCACTCCCCCCTACTGGCCGATGTTCGGGGGCCCTAACCAGTTCAGACCCTCCGGCCGCCTCCAGCTCCCGGCTTCCCTCTTAGAAGCTTCCGGGTCCTTCCGATCGGTTGCTTGCGCGTGGGACTGGCCTTCGCCGGAGCGACCTTTGGTGCGCGGCTTTCGAGACGCGCTCCGGGGCCAAGCTCAAACACGCAGGCAGCCACTTCCGCACCGTACGCAGCGGGTGGCAAGCCGCGCACCAAAAAGGTCACTCTGCCAAGGACCGCTCTTACGTGTAGCCGATCTCGGAAGGCCTACGGCCAGGACCGTTTGCTTAGCGTGTTGCTCCGACGCCTCCTCCTCCTCCTCCGCCGCCGCCGTCGCCGCCGCCTCCTCCTCCTCCTCCTTTTCCTGGCCCCTGGGCACCAACGTCCCGAGTTTTTAGGCCTCCTGCCCCGGGGATGCGGAGCGGCACGCTGTCCGCTTGCAGGGTACCGCGTGCCGCGGGGGCTGCCGCCGCGACGCGCCAAGCAAGTGCCTGAACATGTGCTTTCCCGGGAGCCCCCAGGGGTTCTTCATCCACCTCTTCTTCCTCCTCCTCCTCCTCCTCCTCCTCTTGCTCCTCCTGCTCCTCCTCCTCCTCCTCCTCCTCCTCCCAAGGAGCAAGAGGAGGATGCCATACCATGTTCCAAGTACCAAGAACACAATGGGGCTTCTTGGAAGCCCTCCCGGCGTCTAAGGAACCGTCTCAGAATTCCCCTGTTCCTTTGAACGAGGCCTTTGCAGGAAGATTGTGCATTCCCAGGGAGCCCTAGTCTCCCGACCCAGACGCATACGTTGTGATTTTGTTCGCAACGTGGGCCCCAGAGGTCTGGACCCCTTCCTCGGGACTGTCTTTTCATCCCGAGCCGTTTTCTCACGGTCCCGTGACCCGTCGAGGCCTCCCAGAGGTCGAAAACGTTTCAAGTTCTCCTGTGGTGCTTTTTCCCACGACGCGAGGGGGGGCCACTGCGAAAGACGTGGAGTTGGACATTCACACGCACGCTGTCCAGGCAGCGGGGGTTGAGGAGGCCCTCTCGTATCTCTGGCAACATTCGGCGCATTCCATCGCAGCTTGGCGCGCGATCGTTACGCCGTATTGCGATTCCCTCTGAGGCTGTTTTTCCAAACCATCCTGTGGTGTTGGGTCCTCGTTTTGAAGAGACGGTCCCCGCGTTCTCCTTCTCTCCTCCTCTTCCCCCTCCTCCTCCACCGTCCGCATGCGTCCCGCACACCCAGTACAGCGCGTGGCCTGGCTGGGCATGCGAACATCCAGAGCGAGCGAAGGGAGGAGGAGGAGGAGGACAAGGAGAAGGAGGAGGAGGAGAAGGATTATGCTGCTGCTGCTGACGACGACGATGATGATGCTGATGATGACGATGATGATGATGATGACGACGATGATGATGCTGATGATGATGCCGATGATGGTGCTGATGATGCTGACGATAATTATGATGATGCTGCTGATGATGGTATGTTGCTGCCGATGATGATGACGACGATGCTGCTGATGATGATGATGCTGATGATGATGCGGATGATGATGACGATGATGATGATGCTGATGATGAGGAGGAGCAGGAGGAGAAGGAGGAAGAGGATCATAGCGCCCTCGTCCTCTTCGTCCTCGTCCCAATTCGCTCCTCGCTCCTCCTCGCTCCTCCTCCTCCTCCTCCTCCTCCTCCTCCTCCATCCAATTTCCCGAAACTGAAATCGTGTCGGTAGGGCGTGCCGGGCGTTTTCGCCTGAGACTTCCTCACCATGTATGACCCTTCGGCTTGACATGTGCTCCAGTTTCAAGTGTGGAGGGCGAGTCGTTTTCAAAATGTGGCTCTCGCTTTAGCGCCCTGCACATTCTTAAAGCAAAATGCGACCGTCTAATTGATTCGCATGGCTAATGTCCCAGGAAGGTGTGCTGTCGAGATTTTGGATTACTAGGACGCAGCAGTCACGAATATTCGCGGTGTTGAAGTCCCAGGAAAGGTGGTCTGGTACGTTTTAGATTTGTCAGGGCGCAACAGTCACGTTGATTCGCGGTGCTGACGTCCTGGGGATGGTGTTTTGGCATGATTAAGGATTCTTAGTGCTGTTTTCCAAAGGGCACTTCCTGTGATGAGAGCAGGGACCTATGGCAAGGGAACTTGGAGGGAGACTCGGTTGCAACATCTTTGGTGCGTCTTGGGTTTACGCTGCTCCTCCTCCCTCTTCCTCGCTCTTCCGCCTCCTCCTCGCTCCTCGTCGCTCCTCGGCGGCCTCCTCGCTCCTCCTCGTCTTCGTCCTGAGCACGAGGACGAGGGGAGAGGGCGCTGAGGCGGAGCGAGCCTCAAGCGCGGCGAGGAGCCGGGCCCGCCCGGCGAGGGCGAGGCCGAGGCGGGGCTGCTGTGGCGGCGGCTGCGGGACCTGGCACAGCCGCCGCTGGTGAGGCCGGGGCCGGGAGTCGGCTGCGCTGCGCGTAAGAGTGGCCCTTCGCAGGAGTGACTTGGGTGCTGGCCCACCGGGGCCCTCCGATCGCCGAAATTCGCCGAAATTCGCCGATCGCCGAAATTCGCCTCCCTCCCTTTCCCCTCCCTCCGTCCCTCCCTCCCTTCTCCCTTCTTTATCCCTCACCTCTGCTTTTCTCCTCCCTTGTTCCTCCCCGCTCTCCCTCCCTCCTGGACCCAATGCCAGACGCTGCTGATGCCGCTCTTGCGAGCTGCCATTGTAGGCCATCCTGGGGAGCTCAGCGGCTGGACCTCCCGTGGCCCGTTCCCACTTCGAGCAATCACCCAGCCAACTCATGCTAGCACTAGCCTGCCTGACAGGAGAAATTGCGGTTTCTCTCCCATCTCCCCATCCGCCCTCGTCGTTCCCTTGTCGTTCCATCGTCGCTCCCTCCTGCTCCTCCCTCTTCCCTTCCCCCTTTCCCTCCCCATCTCCCTTGAGACCCGATGTATATATTGTTCCAAAACGTGGTCTTCAGGAGTCTCGACTCTTTCCCCAGGGTGTTTATTCCATCCCAGGCCGTTTTTGGACAGTCCCGGTGCCCAGGCAGAGGCCGAAAGCAGCGTAACGCCTCCGTCGCGCTTTCTTCAAGAACAGTGCTGGCTTCCTCCTTCCTTCCACTTTTCCTGCCCTGCGACAGCAGCTTGCAACACACACCGTTGACTCGGCACATGGCCGCCGAGGGGGGCGCCTTCATGTTGCAGGGCTCCGAGGCGCACGTGCCAAAGCGTTTTGAAGGCTGGAGTCTCTTTCCTTTCGGGTGTGCAGGCGGGTGTGCCACACCCTGATTCGGGTGTTGCTAGAAGTGCCCCTGGCCCAAGGTGCCCCCATCTTTTCACTCCATTTTGGGGCCCCTGGGGCCCTCTGGGCCTCGTGAGGGGTGCTCTGAAGGCCGTCTGGGTCACCCCGAGATTCCTAGGGGCACCTTTGGGCCAGGGGTACTTCTTGCAACACCCGACTGATGGCCACATCCCGCCCCTCCCTCCGTTCCCTTCCCCGCCGCTCCCCCCCCCCCTCCCAGGCACCACGTCGAGCGAGCCCTCGCCGCCTCGCCCGCGGACGCCGCCTGGCTCGCCTCCTGCCCGGTGCGGCACGCCTCCCCAGAGCTGCCAGCGCTGAGGCCGCCTTCGGCGGCTCGAGCAGCGTCGTCGTCGTCGTCGTCGTCGTCGTCGTCGTCGTCGCCGTCGTCGTCGCCGTCGTCGCCGTTGCCGTCGTCGTCGTCGTCGTCGTCGTCGTCGTCGTCGTCGTCGTCGTCGTCGTCGTCGTCGTCGTCGTCGTCGACGGGGCGAACATCATGTGCGAAAGGCGGAAATATCGCTGTCGCCTTTTCGCCGCGCTCAGTTTTGCAGAGGCTTGAACCCTCGCCTGGGCGCGCCGCACATTTTTTACACGCGCTACCGTCGACGCGCGAGCATACGAACACGGAGCTCTCGCTGCGGCGCCGCGCTGATTTGGCCTGGAAGAGTGGGGTTAAGGCCTCGACGTGGCGCATGTTTGTAACTCGCATTTTTTTTGTGGTCTGTCCAAGTGGGCAGCTTGTCCCCGTCGCCCAAGATCTGCGTGCATTTGGCTCGGAAGTGGCGCCCCGGCGGGGGCGCAGCGCATGGTTCGCTCGCCGAAGCGCATGGGCACGACAGCGGCAGCGGAACCGCGCGAGAGCGGGCGAAATGCTGACCTCGCCCAAATGCCTCGCGGGGGCATGTTTTCGTCTTCGCTGCGTCCATCGGAAGTTTTGCCGCTCACAGCCGTGCGCGGCCCGCGTCGTCTTCCCGTCGCCATGTAAAGGGAAGCAGGACCGCGCGCGAGATCTTTCCGTTTGCGAGGTGGAAACGCGCTCCAATCCCAATGTCAAGTTGTCCCAATTTATTCTTACGTTTTGGGAATGAGGGTGGGATTAGGCTGGGCCTTCTGACTCGCTCGACCTGGCTAACTTGATCTGAAGTCCCCCCCCTGGGCCGTAGGGTATGGATTGCTTAGGCTACCTCAGGGCTGAGGGTAGGGCGTAGGTTTGCTTACCCCCCAACGGGGTCTATACCGATGCCGACCAGGACGATGGTGTGCAGACGCTATTCGCATTTTGCGTACGATCGTTGAGAAATCGTTGGGGTGGGGGGAGGACTTTTGGGTTGCCACGCTAGACGGTAATACATGCTTTGCACATCTGTAATCCATCGTTCTTGATTCCTCGAAGCACTTCTTAAAAATGATATCGATGAACGGGTTGTCAGTGCATTTCGCCTTTCATAGTGGGAAGGCCTGACGGCCAGTGCCGCCGACCCTGACAAGGGATGACGACGGCGGCGGCGTTGACGACGACGACGACGCTGACGCTCTGGAACCCTTCGTGGGGCTCTCGTGGGAGCCTCTTGGGCTCTGTTGGGGGGCCTTTTCTGGGACTTCTTGGGGAGCTTCGTGGTACTTGGAGCCGCCTCGGAGCGGGTCTGAGGCCTTTTGGATGCACGAAGGGAAATACGCAGCACCCCGCAACAGCAGGTGAAAGTGAGGAGGTTGTCTCCGGCGGGGGGGGAGGGCGGGAGGAGGATGGGTTGGTGGTGGTCCCCGTGTCCACTGGCGAGGCGGGGGAAGGGGTCCTGAGTTCCCTCTTTCACAGGAAGACCACCTCCTTGTCCCCGTTGACCACAGTGGGGGCCGCCCAGGGGGAGGTCTCGACCCCGGGGCCCCCCCGGTCCCCCCTGGGACAAACCCTGTGAAGTCCCCTGCGAGCCCCCTCTGCAAAGGGAAGGGGGTTCCTTCCGAATCAATTAGGACGTTCTTTGATTTTGATTTCCGTTTGGTTGGACCGCTTGAGGAAGGCCCAGGGAAAGGGCGGGAGCGGCGACGGTGACGACGACGATTCAACCGGGAAAACGTTTCACACACGCCGACAGCGGCGGTGGATTTTGTAGTGAAAGGGTACATTGTTTTGCTTCATGGGGCAAGTGATGAAGAGTTTGTCGTGCAGAGAGGTGTGAAGTAATGGGATCCGCTCTCGCCAGTGTTTTCTGTTTTTAAAAGGGTTTGGACGGAGCCCTCAGAGAAGAAAGCATTGCATGGGAGAGGAGAAGTTTCGGCACGAACGTAGGCCAGGAGATGCGAGGAGAGAGGCTGACTCAAACTGCATATGCGGATTATTAAACGTTAGTGGCACGCTCGTGGCTTTCAATGAAACGACTGCTTGCTAAGCTACGGAGTGTCTTCAGCAGCAGGGGGCTGTCTCTCTGCCCCACAAAATGGCAAGCCCAGACCAACAGAGAATATCCCTAGCATGGACATATTGAGATATAGGATGTCTTTTAGTTTGAAGTCTTACCGCACGGAGCATGTATGGGCCCTTTTGTGACGAATTCGTCACTGCAGCATCCGATTGGTAACAAAGTCGCACACCGACCTCCTACCAGATGGAGTAAGTTTTGGGCATCGACGAGATTGTTGACGAGGAGGAGTTCTTTTTTGAATCGTTAAGCGCTTGAAGCTTGTTAACAGCACTGTATCGGAAACAGTTTTATGGGGGGCGGAGTCATGGATGCCGAGGTTAGGATAATTTCGCAGGTTGCGTTCGACCCGAAATGCCATGCTTAGAAGGATTGTGCTCAGCGGGCGAAAGGGTGGGGAAAATTTGGTGGAGTGGGTGGAGTGCGAGCCGGCACTGGCGACGGCTGGCGCGCAATGCTGGCGTCCAGGATTGGGTCGGAGAGCATTTTGTTGAGATGGGCTGGGCATGTTGCTCGACTGGAAACATCAAAGGGGGCTCTCCTGGCAACTGGATGGAGACACCCATCGTGGCAAGCAGTGGCGAAGGATAAACGGTTGAGGCCAGCCGAGCCGTCTTGGAGGCCATGGGTGAAGTTCGAACACGTTCTGAGACGATTTTGCGACCGCGAGGGCTTTCCAGCCTGGACTTCGCCGTTGCTTTATCCTCCTCCATCTGCCCTCCGTTTCTCTCTCGTCCCCATCACGCCCAGTCTTCCACCACGACTCCTCCGACGCCTCCTTCTCCTCTTTCTCTTCGTCGGCGTCCTCCTCCTCGTCCTGGTTCTATTCCTCCTCCTCGCCCCTCCAACGCGCAGCGCCTCCAACTCCCGCCCCGTAGGCTCGGCGACCTCTTCCTGCGCCCGGTGTTCCGCCCGCTCGCTGGCGCGGCGCTGCGCGGCCGCTACTTCGGGCACGTCGCCGAGGCCCTGCGAGGGGGGGGGGCCTCGCCCCTGCCCCTGCCCTTGGCTTGCCACAGCATCCGCCGCCTCTCTCTCCCCTTCGTCCTCCTGCTCCTCCTCCTGCTCCTCCTCCTCCTCCTTCTCCTCCTCCAGCACCTCCTTCTCCTCCTCGTGCTCCTCCTCCTGCTCCTCCTCCGGCGCCTCCTCCTCCTCCTCCTCCTCTTCTTCCCCCTCCTCCTCCTCCTACTTCCCCTCCTCCTTCCTCCTCTTCCTCCTCCTGCTCTTCCTCCTTATCCTCCTGCTCCCGTTCCTCCTCTCTCCTCATCCTTCTCCTTCTCATCCCCCTCCTCTCCCATATTTTTTCCCCTTTCCTCCTCCTATTTTCCCCCCTCCTTCCTCCTCCAACTTCTCCTTCTCCTCCTCGGTGCCTCTACCCTGTAAGCAACGCTTCCCTGCCCATCCACAAGGCGTGCGGGTAGGCCTGGGTGGGCGTTCTGCTGGAAACTTCGACACGGCTTACCATGAAACTGAGAAGGCTCCAGCAGTTTCAAGGATTCAGTATCGTTTAGCCAATCCCCATCCCCATCCCCATCCCCTTCGTGATCCCCACCAAATTACCACCCCAGTTGGGGATACACCTCTCGAAACTCGAAGGGAACGACCTGTATCCCCATCTAGGAGGGTACATCGGCCAGTGGGGCCCAGGCCACGCCGCTGGGGATGGGGATTGGTTAAACGATGCTCAAGGATGGAGGGCCGGCCGTTTCCCGATTGCGGTCATCGCTTTCGCGCCGCGCCCATTCGTTCTGTACCAGTTCCGAGCATTTTTTCAAAGGTGGAGGGCGGGTGGTTTTCATCGTGCGGCTCTTTCCTTCGCCTCGTGCACATTCGTTTCACGTACTTCCATCAGCTTCAGTGATTGAAGGCAGGTGGTTTTTAAAATGCGGCCCTCGCTGTAATGCCGCGTACGTTTGTGTTAGCCATTTGCAACAACTGCAACGGTGGAAAGGGATCCCTCATCAAACTTGGGATCTTGCCTTAGGGCTGCGTACAATCGTTTTCAATCCTTGACGAGGATGGAAAACAGACAAGGATGGAGGACGGTTCTTTTCCAGATGGGACTTTCGCTTGAGAGTTCCTCGCAACGAGATACCGAAGACGCCTACGGCGAATCACCGCCGCCCCCTGCCTTCTGCAAGCGCCTAATCGGCCGAACGTTGCGGCCATGATTCGGTCAAGCTATCGGACTATGTGTCCCCCCAGCTGTTGTGGAAACCATTCGGGGAACACCTGGGGGAGAAAGAAGAAGAGGAGGCGATAGAGGAACAAGGGGGGGAATGAGGAGGGGGAGGAGGAGAGGAGGAGGAGGAGGGGGAGGAGGAGGAGGAAGAAGAGGAGGAGGAGGAGGAGGAGGAGGGGGAAGAGGAGGATGAGGATGAGGATGAGGATGAGGATGATGATGTTGATGATGTTGACGATGCTGATGATGCTGATGATGATGATGATGACTATGATGATGATGATGATGATGATGATGATGATGATGATGATGATGATGATGATGATGATGATGATGATGATGATGATGAGGTGGAGGAGGAGGAGGAGGAGGACAGGAGGAGGAGAAGGAGGAGGAGGAAGAGGAGGAAGAGGCCTCTTAAGAGCCTCTTTGGGCACTCATTGGGTCTCCCTGGAGATTCTTGGGGGCCTCGTAGAGCTTTCTTGTGCCTTTGGGGGGCCTTCGGAGGCTCCTTCGGAGGCTCTTTTTGGCAAGTCTGAAGGCGCTCCTGGCCGTGTGACGCCGTCGGAGGCCGCCTCGGGGGCTTCTCTGGGCCGACTTGGGGTCCTCTTGGGGCGCTGCAGGGCCGTCTTAGAGGCAATCTTGGGCGTCCAAGGCTTCCAAGAACGAGCGGTGACGCAACAATCTCTTTCTACCAAGGTTCCAAGAGCGAAGGGTGCCATGAGCCATCTCGGGCAGGTTGCTGAAGCGCTCTTTCCGTTCCCGTGTCAGCGTGACGGAAAGAGCGTTCACGCGGTTCCGTTCTTGGTAGGGCGTCAGCCCAAGGGGGGGGGTCCAGGGGGGGGGGAGGTCGGCCGGTCGAAAAGTCTAATAGCTTCTGCGGGGACCTAAGATGGTCCCCGATACCCGGAAGAGTGCCCAAGTGGGCCCCAAGACGGCCCCAGAGCACTCCAAGACGGCCTCAGTTCGCTCCACGACGATCCAAGAAACCCCCGAGACGCCCTAAGATGGCTCAAAGGCGGTCAAAGGCCCCAAAAACGCTCCAAGTAGTCTCAAAGAGGCTTTCCAAGAGAGCCCGAGGAGACACATATACATTTTTTGTGTTTTTACACGTTTTTGGGGTTTTCGTTTTTCTGGCCAAGAACTGCCGAAAGCAGCAACAGAGTCTCCAATTATCGTCCCAAGACGGTCGAAGAGGTCCCCGGAAGGGTCCGAAATTGCCAAAGAGGGCCCCAAGACTGGCCAAGAGGGTCCCTAAACGGTCCGTCAGGGTCCAAAGACGGCCCCAAGAGAGCCCCAAGAGAGAGCCCCAGGAGGCTCCCAAGAGGGCTCCAAGAGGCCGCCAAGAGAGCCCCAAGACGGCCAGTCCTCGAAGAGGCCCCAAGACGTCCCAAAAGGTCCCAAAACGGCTCAAGAGGGCCCCAAGACAGTCCAAAAGAGCCCCTAATGAGCCCCAAGAGGACGGCCCAGAAGACCCAGGAACGCCAAATAAAGAGTGATCGGTAACGCAGAAAGCTCTCCACGCCAAGGCTCCCAACGGCAAAAGCGGGGAGAGACGGATTTATCCCGATACCGGTAAGACGGCCCAAGAGGGCCCTCTCTTGGCAGCCTCTAGGCGCCTCTAGGGGCTCTTGGCGGCCTCTAGGGGCTCTGTTGGGAGGCTCGTGGTGCTCTCTTGGGCCTCTCTTGGTGTCGTCTTGCCCTCTCTGGCAATTTCCGGACCCTTCCAGGGACGTGTTCGGCCGTCTCGGCGCGACCTTTGGAGTCTCGGAGGCTGCTTTCCGCCGTTCGTGGCCAGAAGTAGCGATAACCCACAAAACTTATAAAAACAATTCAATAGTAGTCGAATTTTGTCTCCTCGGGCCCTCTGGGAGGCCTCTTTGAGGCCACTTGGGGCGTCGTGGGGGCTTCTTCGACCGCCTTTGAGCCATCTTAGGCCGTCTTGTGGGTGTCTTCGACCATCGTCGAGCCCAGGAGGCAGGGACAAGCAAAAGGACGTGAAAACGAACCCTCAAGAGGAAGGCGAGACAGTCTCAAAAGAACTTTTGCAACGATTGGTACCGATTTTCGTCGGCGGAGGAGGAGGAAGCAGGGGAGGGGGGTAAGGCAAGCTAGGTGCGCTCGCGTCATATCTGACGTCCTACCCCTCCCTCCCATCCCTTACCATGGCGCTGATTTTCTCTATCCGCGGACGCGTGTCGTAGCGGACCTGTGGCTCCGCGCGCGCGTGCGTAGTGGGTGGTGGTGCGCGTGCGTGCGTGCGTGCGTGTGTGCGTGGTTGTGGTGGTGGTGGTGGTGGTGGTGGTGCTGGTGGTGGTGGTGCTGCTGCTGCTGCTGGTGGTGGTTGTGGTGGAGGTGGTGGTGGTGGTGGTGGTGGTGGTGGTGGTGGTGGTGGTGGTGGTGCGGCGCGGTGATGGCGGGCGGATGGGCGCGCGAGAAAGAGGCCCGCGCTGGGGCGAGAACGCCATCCTGAACGACGGAGGCCGAACACGGGCTCTAATGGCCGGTTTGGGGTTTTCCCTAGGGTTTTTGCATGTTTTTCGGGTTCTCCCCGTTTCCGTCCCAGAAGGGCCCTAGACGGCCCAAGAGGCCCCAAAGATCGGCCCAATAGGCTTCCGAGACGCCCCGAGAGGCGTCCAAGAGGCGCCCCAACAGGCCCCCAAGAGGCCTAAATCATCGATTTCCGATAGGAAAACGTACATTTTTAGCATACGTGGCTTTTCGGCTTTCACGGCGTTGACGACGGCCCAAAAGTTCCCAAGAGGCCCCCCAAACGGCCCAAGAGGGCCCCAAGACGGCCCACGAGGCGCCCAAGACGGCCCAAGAGGGCCCCAAGACGGCCCCAAGAGGGGGACCACGAACCGAAAAGTCTAGCCTTTCGCCTCAAGATGCTCCCAGGAGGCCCCAAGAGCCCCCAAAGAAGCCTCAAGAGGCCCCCAAGAGGCGTCCCAACAGGCCCCCAAGAGGCCTAAAGGATGGATTTCCCAATGGGAAAAGTAGATTTTTAGCATACACGGCTTTTCGGCTTTCACTGCGTTGACGACGCTCCAAGGGCCTCCAAGACCGCCTCAAGACGGCCCAAGAGGCTCCCAAGAGGCCCCCCAAACGGCCCAAGAGGGCCCCAAGACGGCCCAAGAGGCGCCCAAGACGGCCCAAGAGGGCCCCAAGACGGCCCCAAGAGGGGGACCACGAACCGAAAAGTCTAGCCTTTCGCCCCAAGAAGCTCCCAGGAGGCCCCCAGAGCCCCCCAAGAAGCCCCACGATGCCCCTCAGAGGCCCCCAAGAGGCCACCAGGAGGCCAAAAGCATGGATTTCCCATGGGAAAAAGGGTTCCCAAGAGGCCTCCAAAAGGGTTCCAAAAGAGGTTCCAATAGAACTCCCAAGAAGGCCCAGAGACGCCGAATAGAGAGCGATCGGTAACGCAAAAAGCTCTTCACACCAAGGCTCCCACGAGCGAACGGTGACGTAAACAAGCTGATAAGACCGAGGCTCCCAGCAGAGAGCGGTGACGTAACAAGTTCCTGATACCAAGGCCCAGCCAAGGCTCAGGAACGGGCGGCAACGCAACAATCTCTGAAGCCCAAGGCTCCCAAGAGCGAGGGGTGACGTAACAAGCTCTCAACGCCAAGGCTCCCGGTACGAACGGTGGTGTGAATAACTTCGGTTTTTGTTGCTGAAGCGCTCTTTCCGTTTCTGTGCCGGGCCAGGTGACGGAAAGAGCGAGGTACGAGCGAGTGACGTTCTGGTGTGGGCGAAGCCCCGTCAGGGGGGGGTTCCAGGGGGGGTGGGTAGCGCGCACGAATGGGCTCTAATGGCCGTTTTGGGTTTTCCCTATGGTTTTTGCATGTTTTTCGGATTTCTCTTCGTTTCCGTCCCAGAAGAGTCCAAGACCGCCCAAGACAGCCCCAAGACGTTTTGAGAGGCCCCCAAGACGCCCCAAGAGGCGCCCAAGGGGCGTCCTAAGAGGGCCCCAAGAGGCCAACATCATCGATTTTCTAGAGGGCAGCGTACATTTTTTAGCATCTACGGCTTTTCGCCTTTCACGGCGTTGACGACGGTCCAAGAGGCCCCCAAGACCGCCCAAAGACGGGCCAAGACGCTCCCAAGAGGCCCCCCAAACGGCCCAAGAGGGCCCCCAGACGGCCCAAGAGGCGCCCAAGACGGCCCAAGAGGGCCCCAAGACAGGCCCAAGAGGGGGACCACGAACCGAAAAGTTTAGCCTATCGGCCCAAGACGCTCCCGGGAGGCCCCCACAGCCCCCCAAGAAGCCCCAAGAGGCCTCCAAGAGGCGTCCCATGAGGCCAACAGGAGGCCAAACTCATATATTTTCTTTGGGAAACGTGTATTTTTAGCATGCACGGCTTTTCGCTTTTCACGGCGTTAACGACGGTCCAAGAGGCCCCCAAGACCGGCCCAAGACGGCCCAAGAGGCTCCCAAGAGGCCCCCAAAACGGCACAAGGGGGCGCCAAGACGGCCCAAGAGGCGTCCAAGACGGCCCAAGAGGGCCCCAAGACGGCCCAAAGAGGGGGACCACGAACCCGAAAGTCTAGCCTTTCGCCCCAAGACGCTCCCAGGAGGCCCCCACAGACCCCCAAGAAGCCCCAAGAGGCCCCCAAGAGGCCCCCAAGAGGGGGCCCGAAAAGGGCCCCAATTGGACTCCCACGCAGGCCCAGAGACGCCCAGAGCGATCGGTCACGCAAAAAGCTCTTCACACCAAGGCTCCCAAGAGCGAAGGGTGACGTAAACAAGCTGATAAGACCAAGGCTCCCAGCAGAGAGCGGTGACGTAACAAGTTCCTGATACCAAGGCCCAGCCAAGGCTCAGGAACGGGCGGCAACGCAACAATCTCTGAAGCCCAAGGCTCCCAAGAGCGAGGGGTGACGCAACCAGCTCTCAACGCCAAGGCTCCAGGTACGAACGGTGGTGTGCGTAATTTCGGTTTCTGTTGCTGCAGCGCTCTTTCCGTTTCTGTGCCGGGCCAGGTGACGGAAAGAGCGAGGTACGAGCGAGTGACGTTGAGTAGGGGGCGAAGCCCTTCTATGGAGGGGTCCAGGGGAGGGGCGAGGACCGCACGTAAAGTCTAATAGCCCGTTTCCCTCGTATTTTTTCGAGTGAAGCGGCTCCCGGGCGGCTCCCAGGGCCCGTTTCTTCCCCAGACGGGCCCAAGACGGCCCAGAGGCTCCAAATATCGTCCCAAGACCTCCCCGTAGGCGCCCCAAACGGGCCCAAAACGGTCCAAGAGGGCCCCCAGACGGGCCCAAGACAGCCTAAGAGGCCCCAAATATCATCCCAAGACGGCCCCAGAGGCGCCCCAAAGTAGCCCAAAACAGCCAAAGATGGCCCCCAGACGGTACCAATACGGCCAAGAAGGCCCCGAGGGCCCTAAGAGAGCCCAAGAGGGCCCCAATAGGCTCCCCAGCGCGCCCGAAGAGGAGGAGGGGGAGGAGGAGGAGGAGGAGGAGGAGGAGGAGGAGGAGGAGGAGGAGGGAAGGAGGAAGAGGAGGAAGAGGAGGAAGAGGAGGAGGAGGAACGAGGAGGAGGAGGAGGAGGAGGAGGAGGCGGAGGAGGAGGCGGAGGCGGAGGAGGA